CTTTTTTTTTTTTGTTTTCTATTTTATTTTCTTTTTCATTTTTTATTTTCAGTAACTTTTACATTTCTTGTTTTTCTTCAATTATTTATTTTGTTTTCTTTTAATTTTAATTTTGAAAAATAATAATAATGAAAAGAAAAGAAAATGAAACTTTGATGTGAATTTTGATGGTGTGAATTTAAAAACTTTACCTAATTATTATTATTTGTAAATAATGTTTGTAAATAAATAAAGAAATTAAAATTTTTTCATAAAATATAAATATGACGATGAAGCCTCTTTAAGGGAATAACGAGTTTTCTTGAATACTCTTGATGTGCATGAAACTTTCTTTTATAAAAAAACCATAAAGACATTTTTTCAATATTTAAATATAAAAATTAATGAAAATAAGGAATAAAGAACATTTCATTTAAGGTTTAAATAAGATAATATAAGACTAATTTGGTACCAATTTATGGATATTGTGTGGCACTAAAACTTTTCCTACATGTATTCAACTTTTGAACTTAGTTATGTTTATATAGATCAGAACTTATTCTTTTAGAGACTTTCTAATTAAGTTTATGATAAACATAAAACGGATAAATTCACTTAAGTGGCTAGTCATAATTAGATAAAAAAAATTGGTGACAACTCTATATTTTTTACTTCTAATCGTCAAATTCTAGAACTTGGATATTTTGACATATATCATGCTTTGTATATTTAAAATGTTACAATTTTTTTTATCATTTTTCTAGTTAATACATCTACATTAAAATTTTCATCATATTTCGAGTACATGAAAAAATCGAAGTGATTTATCTCTTTCACTTAGGGGGTGTTGGTTCATAGATTCTAACTTTCCCTCCTTGAATGTAACTTTTCATTATTTTATTCCTTGATTTGGTTTAGAAAGTTTTCCCAATGTCAAGAAACTTTTCCCCGTGTTAGGAATCTTACAATGTCAATAGTGTCAAAAAAAAAAAAAAAGGGAAAGTAGGGAAACAAAAAAGCTTTTCTCTTCTAGAGGTTTTTTTTAGATTTCGGAGGAAAAGTGAAAATTTTGCTCATTTCCTCTTATTTAATTGTACTTTTAGACTATATAAACAATGTTATTTATCTTTAAAATATAGTAATTTTATATGTTGCTTTTTATTAAATCTTCATAATTCAACAATTATTAGATCTTTCTCGAATATATAAAAAAAATTATTTTTCAAAACTCAACACAAATGACATTTTTAAAATTAAAAATATGATTTTCGTTGAAAATATGAAAAAATATATATTTTTAAGAATTCTTAAATTTTATCAAAGATGACGTTTTTAAAATTAAAAATGCGATATTTTTGAAAATATGAAAATTTTATTATTACATATAAAATTTATTATATATGCAATAAAACCTAAAATACTTTTACTTAAATAATTTTAAAAAATATTAAATAAATAATTTATATGTTAAATAAATAAATTTTAAATAAATCACTTCTTTGTTCACATATTATCAAAGACAATATAATAAAAAACTTTATTATAATAATATTATTATTATAATAATTAAATAATAATATTATTTTACCCTTTTATATAATAATAATAATAATAATAATAATAATAATAATAATTCTCATATATATAGCTCTAACCTTCTTACAATACATACTAATTATAACATATTAATTACTAATTAGTTAGCTACCTTGTATCCTAAATATATATCTTTTATTGATAATAAAATATTGTAAAAATACCAACTTATAGCTAATACAATACAAATTTAAAAGACTTAAAATATTCATATTTTAATTTCAAACAAAAAAAAAAGCATCTATAAGCATTGAGAAATTAGACCATATGTACCAAACATTACATGGAATTGAAGAGTACTTATCCAACAAAATATTCTTATACACAAGTATCTAACCAAATTAATAGTTGAAACATATCACTTTCATCCTTTGGAATATAAAAACACAAGTACCAAATTGGGTCTTAAACTTTTTGGCAATATCATTGTTGTTTTTGTACAAAGATTTGCAACTACATCTAGCAACTAAACTGTCATTATGGCTCGCCTAGTGGCTGAAAATATTTTGTTCTTAAAGAAAGTAAGAAACAATTTAAGGGTAGCCAACATCTGCATGGTCTGTTTGTTCTCAAAAAGATAATGTAACACTTACACTGGTGTAAGTAAATCCCTACTCATATATATAATATATTATATATATATATGTTTATTATATATTATATATAATGTAATATCTATTATATATATGCAAAATCTCATAATAATGCTGGATTCTTAATTACAGTAATCAGGATTCAAATTACCTCAAGTATTAAAAAAAATAACTTAAGGGCCATTTCCAATAGTAACTTCAAAAACTCAGGACAAACATGAAACTAATTTAAGATACGATGGGAAACAACTAATAAAATTCGAAGTTGGGAGAATAAAAAAAATTTGCCATACCGTCACATCTAAAAATCCAACAAAGTTATCAAGTTCACCGAAATGAGCTTGAATAGGATCCCTGGCTTGGTTAGGGTCTGCAAGTTCAGGTGAAGGAACCCTATAAGCGGCAACAATAACATCGACTTCAGGAACTAAAACATAACTTGCAATAGAGAGAGCACCCCCATGCAAAATCCAGTCACTTCAGCCTGTTGCAATGAAATAAGAGATTGCTCACTAACCAATGTTTATACTTCATCAAATAGTTTAAATAAAGCAGCACAGATGAAATAGATCCGATATTGCATTACAGTTGGTCAACAAAACAGAGTGATCAAGATATTCACCTTCAATAGAAACCAATGGCTGATAACAATCATAAAATAAACTAACAAAAGATTTAGCACTTATGCAGTCCTTCCACATTGACATTTATTCAAACACGCTTAAAGCAATAAACAAAATATTATCAAAACTAATTATAAGAAGCACTTTCACAATTAAAATATTCAAATTAGTAAAAATAATAATAACAAAAAAAAATTGTAAAAATTAGAACTTACCAAGTAAATTTTGGAGCAAACAATAGAAAATGAAATTTGGGATTTTGTTTGTGGACATCGGACAGAAAATTCATCTTGCTTTTACAGTTGGAAGTGTTTGCTCTTAATATACCTAATATGCTAACATGAAAACCTCATAAAAAGAAAAGAGAAATTGAATTAAAAAAATTTGTAAGTAATAAAAAATCATTGGAATTTCAACTCATAGATTCTTAGTCAAAAGCTGTGAAATCAACAAGAAATTGGTTATAGGAAATCCACCTATTGAAAGACCAAAAACCAATGGCTAAACCATTGGAAATGGCAAAAGAGACTATAAAAGAAGGCAGTATTAGCCATAAAGATAACAACAAAATCAGTGCCATTGAAGAAGTAGAAGCATGAGTCAGTCCCTTCAAAACCTAAGCTTCCTTCTTCTCTTTCCCTTTGTCTTTCTCCTCCCCCTTTCTTTCTTTTAATTTTTGCAGTTGTTAGCTGCAGAAGCTTTTGGTTTGTTTTTCAATCTAGGAGCTTCTCCTCTTGTTCCGTTTCCATCATTTGCTCTTTAATTTTTTTTAAGACATCCTTTACGTGTACAATAAATTGGAGTCCAGGGACTGCTTTTATTAAAAGTTATATATATATATATTTATGGTTTTAATTTTTCAAAAGCAAAAATTAGATAAAAAAAGATACTAACATTAATGAAAGATTAATATTTCAAAATTTATGCATAGCAAGAGTTATATGATCTCCAAAAAGATCTTAACTTTTTTAATTTTTCTAAGGTGTTGAGGTCATTTCTACTACGCAATGAACTTTTTTCTAATTAGCACAAATACATGTAGAGACATTTTGGAAAATTTTTACATGACTCATGCTAAGGAAGTGGCTACTCCAATGGAATATGCTATGAAAATGCAACTGAAAGATGGTTTTGGATGTGCCGGTGAAGGGACGAAGCCAGGTTTTTTTGTAAAAATAAGGTGAATTGATAAAAATTTAATAAAATAATAATAATGTAATTAAATTAAAAAGTGTATTTTTTTTAATATTTAAAGAACAATTAAAATCTAACTAATAATTTTTGAAAAAATTAAAATTAAAAATTAAAAGTAATACATTAAAAGGTTTAATTTTAGAAATGCAAAGTTTGGTAAAAATTAAAAAAAGAATTTATAATGTACAATTAAATTTGTAATTTTATGTGCACAATATATAAGTAGTTGAATTTTTTTAATTTTATTTTGCAGTCTTAGTCATTGATTCAGTTTAAAATGAGTTTGCAGATATCTAGAAGTCGTTACTAATCATGGTTTGTTTTTAAAGAAATCATCCTAGTTATAGTTCCTTGCTTTTAGTGATGTTAATTGAGCATGAAACTTAGATGATATAAATTATACCACTTGGGTCTATCTAGTTTGAACACAATCCTATTAAATAGAATGGAGATTTAATTTAGTTAGTTTATATGATTAGTGTATAATATTTTTAAATTTTAAATTTTAACATTTATAATTTTTTTTTATTCTTGTAATACTATCTCATTTTGCATAAAAAAAAATTCACTCAAATAAAGGGCAATAGCCAACAAGACTACTCAATTAGTTTGGATATATAATCTCTTGTTTGAGCTACATATCACACAGTCCCCTCCAATTCTTAACATATGTGCCACATATCTTAAAGCTAATCATGTTTTCCATTCTAGAATGAAACATCTAGCCTTAAGTTATCACTTTGTCAGATAACATGTTTGTTGGCCATTTCCATCCTAAGCATGTTATCCGAAATGGGAAACGTTCCTGTCCACCAAGTTTTCGTTATTTTATCTAAAGGTCATAGCTGCACTTTTAATTAAATTTATAATTTATATTGTTCAGATCATTTTTTCTTTTTTAATTAATTTTTAATTATTTTTATATTCGATTATCATCATTAAATTTCAATCATAGATTTAATTAAAAGTACATTATTCATTTTAAATAAAATAGTGAAAATTTTCGATAATGATTCCCTCCTCCGGAGGCGCATTTAAAGGAGATCAAGGATTCAAAAGAAGTTAGAGAAGACCATGTCAGAAGATCAAGTTAGCAGAATCATTAATTGATCTTTTGTTTAGTTAAAATTCAAAGATTGTAGTCTGCGGATGAAATAAGCGAATCTCATATCTCTTCTTGTATCTACTCATCACTAATGAATGAAAGTAAATAAGTTTAAACTCCAGACATTATTCTTTCATTAAAAATAGAACATTACAAGAAAGAATAATTGTCTTATCTAATACAGACAATTAGTGACTAGACTGAATATTTATTCTACAGAAAACCTTAGCAGCTGTGCCATTTCCAATAAACATTAAGGATAGGCAAAATCTTAATCTTCACATTCTTAAGTGCATCAGTTGAATAAAACCAAATCATCAACCTAAAGAATCATAGACACCCTAGGCAACTCAAATGAGACGGCAGTGTCATTAACCATTGATTTCAGTATAACAAAATGTAGCTCTCTACGAAAGAGGTTGATTTTCAGTTAGTATCGCATGTTGGGTCATTCAATCCGAAGGCATCAGAAATACCGAGGTTCAGGTTGCTTCTCATAGTTCTGCTTCTTCCGATCCCATCACCCTTTCTCATCATTGCAGCAAACTCCCCATAGTCTATTCGCCCATCCTGCAATTTCATGTAATCACAAGATAAGTTAGGAACAAGAAATTATAATGATTTTTTACAATGATTTCACTCCGTTTTCTTTAGATAAATGCAATATCACGTGTCTAAATTATAAATGCTTGGGACATATTGGTAAGGAAAAAGGTGAGGAAGGTAAAAACAGTTAATATAATTTTCCTTGCATGTGTTTGCTACTCCTTTCCTTCACACCTATTAGGCCAGTCGATTTATTTTACTCACTAACTTCTCCATTATAAAATAGTCATACAAATTCTCCTTGATGATAACATTCATACAGCTGAAATCAAACCATAATGAAAATATGATAATGCTGATGATATGTGAAAGCTATGGCAATGTAACTTTTACAATGTAGAATGTGAAATAGTAACTTCAAAATTTGAATGTCTAATCGACCTGGTGTACTTACATTATCTTGGTCGATTTCTTTAATCATTTCATCCAGATGTACATCACCTAGACCAAACTCTTTGCAAGCATGTTGAAGTTCATCTATGGTGATGTAACCGCTACCATCTTTGTCAAAAAAGGAGAAAGCAGCAACTAAATTCTCCTCTCTCTCCGTCTTATTTATGTGCAGTGTAGCAGCGAGGAATTCACCATAGTCAATTGTTCCACTGTTGTCAATATCAGCCTGCCAAAATTCCCGAGGCAATATTTGTAATTGTGAGACTCAATCATGTTGTAACAGTAGAGAATATCACACTTGGTTTATAGCACAAACATTCTTAGATTGTAGCACAAACATTAAAGTTACATTAATTTTTCAATAACAACCCAAGAAGGTATATTTACAGCTTCCATTAGAGACTTGATTTCTGATTCCATTAGTTCAGACCCCACTTTCTTCAAACCGTCTTTGAGTTCCTGAAATGTTATCGTCCCACTGTTGTCTGTATCAATCATTTTGAACAACTCTTTCAAGCCACCAATTTCTTCCTCAGAAAGTCTTTCTGCTATGACCTGCAAAAGAATTTATATTCTATTGTCAAAGATGATTGTTAAACTTACTTATATGTTAAAAGGCATAGTATTTGTCACAGTGACCCAAACAATCAAGACAAAAAATTAAGTCGAGTAGCTGCTTTCTTTCATGCATGCCTATGTTGTCAAACAAAACACAGAAGATGACTGGATGTTGCATTCCATCATGCAGCTGACTAGAGTTAAAGAATCATTGTACAAATATGAAAGGATAAACTTTGAGCAATAAACTACTCTTCTAGAATCGTGAGTTATAGCAGAGCTATCTAACTGAATATGAAAATAATAAATTTTGAGTAAAAGCAGAACTATAATAGTTTTGCCTTCTTTCTCATCCCAAGTAGCAATCCCTCCTCACAATTCTCATGAAGCTATTTGATGGTGAATTTACTTCTTGGGGCGAAAGCATGGTTTGAGGTAGTATTTTGTCACAAGCCCGAGATAAAGTTAATATGAATCAATATTAAGAAGGTTGTTAAACTTTTGGAAGTTTCAAGAGATTAGGATCCCGACTTCTACTGCATGCAACTGCTGCTGAAAGAGATGTCTAATACCTAGGCTATAGTTGAGCGCTAAGCTGACTAGGAACAGTTATAACATCATGGACAATGTGTCTCTCCATCAAAAACAAGTTAAATTCTAGACCCCAGCCTCCACCCAACTAGCCACCAGCTAGCCAACACCAAAGGTTTGTTTGCTGGACAAAAACAAAAATTACGAATGGAAGTTGCATTCTACCATGCAGCTGATTACAGTCCGAATATTGTAACAGCAAAAATATGAATTGACGAACTTGTTTCTTGTGTGAAATACTACTTCGTTTATACCACCATGAGTTATAACATAACTAACGACTGAAAAGGGAAATAATTTCATATATCCTTCATTACTTTCTAAAAGTCAAAACATGAATTCAGCATAAAAAATCCTTCACCATGAAGATTCAATTTTAAATTCAGCATAGAAGATAACTAGATAATAGGTTCACAATCAGGTTTTCATGGGAAATTTTCCAATAACTATAGATGGAAGATTAAAAAGGAAAATCACATACACGCAAAGCCATCTTTTTAAGTTTGTTCATTGCTGAGAACTGCTTCAAGCGTGATAACACAGCAGAATCCAGAGGTTTGTCAGGGGCAACTCTATCATCCACAATCCATGGGTGACCTGATTCATAAATCAACCCATTGTTGTGACTTACACACATACAATAAAGATAGAGCATTCTCATTCCCCTGCTATAGCAAAGAAAAAATAATTCCGTAGGCACAATATGCAATGACTTACATAGGACTTCATGGGCAGAAATTCTTTGCGTTGAACCTCTCTCAAGCATCTTTCTTATCAGATCTTTTGCACTTTCAGAGATACTAGGCCACGGCTCAGATACAAAATCAATTTTTCCATGTAAAATCTGTCTGAAGATTCCTGATTCGGTTTCTGTGAGTGGAGAGGAAACGTAAGTATACCATAGGATATTAAAACACAAAATGGCACAAACTGCTGCAGGGAGTACGATTATTGAGATAAATACCTGCCCAAAATGGTGGAACCCCACTCAACAAGATGTAAAGGATAACACCAGCACTCCATATATCTACTTCTGGTCCATAATGCTTGCACAAAACCTCTGGTGCAACATAATATGGACTCCCAACAACATCATAAAAATATTGTCCTGGAAGGGAAAAGGATAAAAAAAAAAAAGTAACCACCATTAAATACGAGAGATATACCACAGAAAAAATAAGGGAAAGCAGTAGCACATGCAATAGTTATGAAGTTGCCCATTCTTTGAAAAAGCCTAAGGATTCTCCAATCACAAGAAATTTGAATGTGATTCGTACAACCAAGCAGAATTCAGTACTGAGGCAAAACCAGATAATCTAGTGGTGCTGATCTCGACATCACTATGGAGATTTCCGAAAAGCAATTGACAGTCATTTAACCATCTCAGCTAATGTTGGAGAAGGTTCATTATATTCAATTGAAGTAAATATTTAGCGCATTAATTATGGAAAAAAAAAAAAAAAAACCTTTGTAAAAAGATGCACCGTATATAACAGAACATTGTTCTAATCAAACAAACCAGAACCAACAGTCCACAATTTTAAAAATGAACTTGCAAAAATACGCATCAAATATGAAATCCTAAGGGAAATTGATCCTATTGAACAGTATCTGAAAAATATTCAGCGAATCATCAGGCTGAAAAATAATTATCCCAAGATTTTCAAAGAATCAATCTAATTAAAAAAAAAAAATCATAACGAAAACAACCAATATCAGATATCAATACCCTTCAGAAAGGTATTGAACTTCTAACCAAAGAATCAAGAATGTCCTCAACTTCCGATCAGATAATCAAACCAAAATCAGAAAAATCAAAACTCTATTTCTCGATTTTTTACAGAACTACATTAATCATTCCACCAAAAAGAAACTACCGTTTATTCAAGAGAATCAAGACTAACATATAAAAAAAAAAAGAAAAAGAAAAGCCAAGAACCAACCTGGCTTATAGAAGACAGACAAGCCAAAATCTGTAGCCTTGAGAATGGCATCATCAGCAGGAGTATCAAACAAGAAATTCTCAGGTTTGAGATCTCGATGCATAACCCCAAGAGAATGACAAGCCTCGACAACACCAACAATAGTTTTAATAAGCTTAGCAGCCTCTCTTTCACTATAATGTCCTTTAGCCACAATCCTATCAAAAAGTTCCCCACCTGCACAAAGCTCCATAACCAAGTGAACAAACACAGAATCTTCATAAGTTCCCTTGATCTGCACCACACTTGGGTGCTCAGACAAATGATGCATGATCTGAATCTCTCTCCAAACGTCATCGTAATCTTCACGGCATAAAAGTTTGCGCTTTGGGATTGATTTGCAAGCGTAAAGGATGCCAGTAGCCTTGTGAGTACATTGATACGTGATACCAAATTGGCCTTTCCCAAGCTTCTTGCCTAACAAATAGTGGTCCCTTAGTCTCGGGGTTTGGTATGGCAAAACTGTGCCTATGGGCTTTGCAGTTGTTGATGATGACGATGTGATTTTCTTATTCATTGCCACAAGTACCTCAGATGGGATCTCTTTCTCTTTCACTTTCTTTCTGCAAGAGAATTGTATTTTCTTGTTTGTTTTTTCTTCTTCAGTTTCATTTTTTATGGGTTTTTTTTTTTCGTAAAAACTATGACTTGTCATTAGTACGTTACTTTTTACCAATACCATAAAACAAATATAGAATGGAACGGAAACAAAGGTTGAAGCTTTATGATTTCCAAGTTTTTATACAAAGAAAAATTACGTGGAATTATAGAGTTAATATTTGATAAATATGTTTTATTTTTATTTGACTAAAGATTAAAAAATTATTCAAATTAAAATTTAATAATTATTTAAAATTTTAAATTTTATTATACTTAATAAAATCTTAAATCTTTTATTTTCAATCATTTGAACCTTAAATATTTATTTTCATCTAATTAAATTTTTAAATATTTATTTTCACTCAATTAAATTATAAATTGGATGTAAACAATTAAATGTTTTTCCCTTAATAAGGGTTTAATTGATGAAAGAAAATGTTTAAGGGTTTAATTAATTGAAAAAAATATAAGATATTTGATGATTATTGAATTTTAGTTTAGAAGTGTTTTTTACCTTTTTATATTTTATTTTTAATTAATTTTTTATTTTTAAAAATATATTTGAAAGGATATGTGTCATTTTTTTAATTTTTCTTGAGAAATTTAAAATTTTCACTAATAAAAAATGAAAAAAATTATAATAATAATTATATAATTTATTTTATTTTTAATTTATTTTTATTTTTAAAAATATATTTGAAAGGATATGTGTCATTTTTTTAATTTTGTTTGTGAAATTTAAAAATTTCACTAATAAAAAATTGAAAAAAGCTTTTAATAATAATCATATATTTTTTTTGGTCAAAGTAAGAAAAAGAATTGCAAGAATAATTATATAATTATATAAATTAATTGAAGATGAATTTATTTACATTAGAGTAAATTTTATATTTTAAAATGATTAAAATTAAAAATATTATTTTAATTTAAATTAATTATAAATTCAATTTAATTAATAATAAAAAATATGAAATTTATGTTTATATAATGGGCTCGCTACTAAAATTATAGACATAGTATAATTTTGACAGAGAATTATTCAATTTTGGAGTATTAGAATTTAGAAGGAAAGCCGCCGAATGCTGTGTACCTCAATTTAATATTTATATTTTATAGTTCTAATTATTATATTGTTTTAGAGAAGTAATTATTATATTATTATATCAGGAATTTTATTGTCCTACAATTGGCCATCGGTGATTAAATTTTAGGATAAAATTTATATTGAAGTTCGTTAAAGTTTTTATTAAAAATAAATAAATAAAAATTTTAATAAAAAATCGAATAAATAAATTGATAAAATTTAATATAAAAATTAATAATATGTATAAAAATTATTTATAATATTATTTATAATCTAAATTTAAATGACACTTATTAAACGGTAAAAATTTTGTTAAACTTTTATTAAAAATATCTATTTAATAAATATATTAAAATTTTTTAATTTTTTAATTTTAAAACATTTAATTTATATTTTAAAAATTTTAATTTATTTATTTTTAATAAAAAATTTCTTGATTTTCATTTATGAAATTTCATATAAGTTTCTCCTTAAGCTTTATGCATAATCTGAAGCACATCAGTATTGAATCAGAGTTTTGAAGACAAGAAGTAGGACATAGTAGATTCCATAATTAACTACTTCAGTTTTTTCTTTTGTTCTTCTTTACTAGTTAGTTTTAATCACGTCTAAATGCACGCACGATAATTTTATATTTATATAAATATTTATGTAAATTATGAAAAGAAAAATAATGAATTTGAGAAGAACGGTATTTTAACTTTGAGAGTTGAAATAAGGTATATTATTCAATAAAAATATCTTTTTATGTACTAAGTGAAAAAAAATAAATAATGTATATATTTTTATTAAAATTATTAATAATATTAATTCAATATCTTAGAAAAATTTATTTGATATAGTTAATATCTAACTACTATAATTTTTAAGTTACGACCACTCAAATATTAAAGTGGTTATTAAGTTGCACATTGATTAAATAATTTCAACATTAAAAAATTAAGTATTAGGTTATAAATTCTATAGATTGATCTTTAAATAAATTGGTATAATATTAAAATTGGTACCTAAAAGTTGTATATTCGAAAAAATATATACACATAATATTTTTTAATCAAATAAATATAAAAATAAAAGATTCAAAAATAAATTAAAAAAATTTACAAATTCTCATTTCCTTTTAATCAACATATCAAGTCATGTCAACCTTGCAATTAACAAAAATAAATAAATAAAATTTAATAGTTTTGCACTAATTTAGGTAAAAAATGAAAAATTATACCTATCATGATCAATGTGGAATGTTATGGTGGTCTTTTCCTTTAAAAGGTCATGGTGGTTTTATCATAATAGTTTTGAAGACTGTTAGACAAAAATTTTAAAATTTAGAGAGTTGTTATCAATTTTTTTAAATATGATTGGTCACTTGAAACTTTTAAAACTAATTAATGGTTATAAAAATGTAATTTTTTATCTACAAAAAACAATTCTAAGTTAGAGAGTACAATTATGTATGGGGAAAAATTAACAGTTCACAATGCTCATTTTAAAAACAATACTAATTAATCATATGTTATCCTTAATATTGATAAAAATGATCTTAATTCTAATATTTAAAACTAATTCCTTCAAATTTTATGTTTTCCATGAATTTTTTTAAAAACTTTTTATTTAGAAAAAAAATGAAAATCTTTAATATTTAGGCAAAATTTCAACAAATATTTATCTACTTGTGACTTTTATAATAATTCTCAAAATCTGACATAATATTCCTTTATAAAAAATAATTATTGAGAAGCCCTCAAATATCTAGGTTGGGTCTTACAAATTATTTTTATTTAGGAATATTAGTTTTAATTTAAAATAATTCTCCAAAATCACCATTTATTAATTTATGTTTCTTTGAAAACGATGAATGCAAGCAATATCATATGAAGTAAATGGATGATGAAAATACAAATAAAAAATATAGATGATCGATTTGATCTATCTTATACACATTTAATTTTATTTTTTAGCATTATACCCCTTTTAAAGGAAATCAAGGATGAAAGAAATTTTATTTATTTTCATTTTTTTTGTAAAGGAAAACTTTCTTTAATTCTCTAATAACTAGGTAGAATTTTGAGAAAATTAATCATTCAAAATATGATTTGAATTCCCTCCAATATTTAGATAGGGTTTTAAAAATCATTTTTTATATTAAAAACATTATGCAATGAATGAATAATTAATAAATAGCATGCAAAGAAACATTATAAACAAATTAACATAAGATATATAACATAATAACATATAAACTAGAGAACAAGGAAAGTAAATGCCAAGAAACAATTGTAGTATGCCATAAGAAATGTAGCAATTAAAATAACAAATCGAAACTTTTATTTAAAAGCTTATGAATGGAAAGCCAAAGAAATGGATTTCATTTGTTTTTATATAGCCTTTCTAAATCTAAACTAAAAATTCCATTTTAATATTCCTTCCCTCATGTTTTAAAACTTTTGTTTATCATTAAAAAAACAAAAGAAAAATTTCAGCTAGAAAAAAATCAAATGTTCTTGGACAACCATACCACCCCTTTTTAAAAATGGTTTCTTCATTTTACCCATGCTACCTTCTTTATTCTATTTTAAGTTAGACAACATAAGAGGAAAAAAAAAGACACAACCATACCATAGTCCTTACAACTATAGCTTCCATACCAATGCTTTGAAGGGTTTTTAAGGTCTTTAAACTCCTTGGGCTCTCAGCCTATGCAATCTTAAAAACCATTTACATTTGCTATCAAATTGCCTTAAGCTTCTTTTTCACCTATGTTTTGAAAAGTTACTTGTTTTCATAAAAAAGAAGTTATTTTTATTGTTTTTACTTGGAAAACATATATCCTAGATGAAAACCTAAGCTTTTATGGACGGTAAAAAGAGGACAAACCCGAAACTCTTACATGGAAGACATTTTTTGAGAGTTTAAACTTCAAAATTTTTGCTTTTTTTTTGTCTTGGAAAACGTTCTCTTTTTCAAGTAAAAAGGCATTTTTAAGTCATCACAGCCAACAAATATTAGTCGAGATGGAGCTTAAAGCTCCTAGTGCATTAAAGTAAGAAAAAAAAAGCCAAAACACTCTTCTAAAAGACTTACTCAGTAAATAATTTTTTTATTTTTTATTTTCAAAAAGACCTCTCCTAGTTCATTTAAAAAGTTTACATTGTTAACCTTTTTCTCTAGATCAAACCATATATAGAAAACATGATAGTTATGCATGTAAACTAGTCGAGAAGAACCAAAAAGCTACATTTTTTCTATTTTTCAAAAGCTATGGCTTCTTTTTCTTTTTTGGCAAAGCTTTCTATATTTCTTCTCTCTTTTTTTTTTTTTTTAAACTAGCCAAATGACCTCATCCCTTTTGCTTGCTCACCAAGTCCTTTCTTTTATGCTTCCTAACTTATGACCAGAAAAAGATCTCGTAAAGGATTAGGTTTTTTTTTTTTTTTTGCTGTATTGGGCTATATTTGAATTGTATTTAGGTTATGTGATAGGCCACATCTGGGCTATGTAATGGGCTATGTTTGGGTTGTATTTGGGCCCTAAAAAATAACATTGATGCATGTTAGGCCCTTTAGTCTTATTAACCAAAAATTGAATTAAATTGAGCCTCGATCCGTGCAAAATGAACTTGAATATATAATATGAAATAAAAGCACTCAAATTGGTCAAAATTGATACGTTCGAACCTAAATTGCAATCAAACATGATCAAATTATTTTGGATAAAATTAAGTATCTACAGCTACCCTTCTTTGCATATTACTAAGGACCATGAAAAATACAAAGATACAAATAACAATTTTGTTAGGGTGACTTTTTTGTTTTTATCTTTTTTTCCATTTTTTCTTCTTTTTTTTCTTCATTTGTTTTTTTTTTAATTTCTAAAAAACTCCTCTCA